TTCCTCTACGAATTCCTAAAAGTTCGAAAAATCATAAATTTAGTTCACGACGGTCATCATCAATTTCCCAGGGTCAACCCTATATCATTCCATGGGAATTTAATCAGTTCTTTTGCTAATGTTTCCAAGCCGGAAGCCACTTGCTTGATACTTTTGGAGACAGGATGAGATACTAATGTATCATATGCGATAAGAAATATTGTGGGCAAGAGCCTGATTTTATAATATACAAATATGAGATGCTATGCAAAGTCTCAAAACAAACTGTGTAATAATAAAATAAAGACCAACATTTGAAATAAATCTTTCACGGATAAATGTTCCAAATAATGAAGTGCCTAAATATAAATTGCAATCAATTATATGATAAAAAATTATCTTCAAATTGAATTAGTAAATGCTTTATACCTTTTCTGCTTCCAGAGAACATTTGAACAACGGAGTTTGATGATCTGCGGGTATTCGTTGGGCAGTCTATGCATTAAGCATAATGATGCCTTATGAATCATTCAATATGTTATAAAAATTGTTAATTGCAATGTATATCTTATTTACCTTCCACAATTCTTGCCATAAATTGCCTTTCTCCAACATTCGTTGGCTAAGAGTTCCCTTGTTTGGATTATTGTCATCAGGGATCCAATCGCGTGGTGAATGCCATCGAATAAAATCTTCCAAGATAGCATGTGGGTTTGCTGCTTTGAAAGCCTGCATGTCTGAATGTAAAAATAATAAAAGATCAGTTCGCATGAACATCAAAATATTCAACGGCTTAAAGTACTTACCAGAAAGCAAATGTGCAGATTGCATTTGAGCTCGTACTTTAGTCGCATCTTCTGACGTGCCCAATTTTTCAAATATCTCTTCTTGTTCACGTAGCATATCTTCGGTCATGAAACCAACTTCCTATAAATATTGGTGCAGAACCAAATTTACTAAAGGCTATATCGAGTATCGTTTGAAACTAAAATTATGCGTACCTGAGTTTCTGGTACCCAAAGAGGTTCACCAGTTACCAACAAAGTGAGATCATTGAACGGATGTAAATGACCCTCTCTTTTATTTTCATCATTTACCTCCCTATAAACTTCATCCTCGTTTACTGTAAGTTTTTCCTTATCAAATCCTCTATTCGAC